TAACAAAYCAGCAACAGGTTTGTGTCAGCACGTCTTTAGCTCCAATAAGACGAAGATGTGTGACACAAACTAAATGGATAGATGCTTCCACCACTAATGATCAGGGTCTTTGTGTTTCTCATTTCTTGTATTTTTTTTAAATAAATAAGTTAATGTTTCAAGCTCCAAAAAACTGCCGTCTTTCTGGATCCTATATCCTCACAAGCTATGACCTTTTCATTTATTCCAGCTGATGACTGTTTGAGAATCACAGCTTTGGTTCAAAAAATATTGTTAATGTCTGTTCAGTTGGTAAATTTACATAAATTCAGTTAAAAAAAACAGGAACAAAATGTAAATTTGTGGCCATCGACATGTATCATATCTATGGTTGGGTAAAATCGTATTGTGTGCAATTAATCATCAAAGAAACTTTAATCTATTAKTTTTTGGCGCTTGACAATTAATACAATTAATACAATTAATACCGCCAGGCAGACTGACTGGAGATTTCCCCGGTCAGTCCGCTCGATACTCTTCAACAATTCAAATATAACAAACATTTTTATTTAAAGTTCTGTAATTTATTTATCATAACTCTTGTTTTAATTGGTCTAGCAACACAATTTAAAAACTGATGTTTAGCCTGAAGTCTGTACTTTTGACACAACTTGTAACAGATCTTTACAGAGAATAAACCTTTCCTAGAGTGATTTAAAATGGTCATGTGACTATATGAGGGCATCCAGGGGATTAATCGTTATTGGCTAACCACAATTAATCATGGTCTTTTTTTTTTTTTGCCTAATTACATCAGTAGATCAAGTGTTCCGTTAAGCTGGCTTGTTGTATTTTTGGATCCAGAACACAAGTGATGAGGAGCTTCCCGTCCCAAAAATCCAATTTTATTTTATTTTTTATTTTTGAAAAACCATGAAAAATGAGAAATTATTGATAAAAAAAATAACCTCAGAAGAACTTGGCTTCTTGGAAACTAAATATAAAAACTGAATGCTTTTTTTGGTCACTTCAGTAGAAAATGAAACCTTATATTAGTTTATTTAGTTTATTTATTTCTTCATCATCAGTGACTTTTTTTAAGTGAAGAGAAAATAGAGACAGAGAGAAAAACAGAGAGAAGTAATAAGAAAGATAGAAAGATTGAAATAGCGATTAGAAATATATTAAATATACACCAACAAAACACAGGACCACACACCCAACATCTGTCTGCTCACCTGAAAAATAAATGGATAAATACATGGAGGGCATATATAAATATTTACACATACCCATACATATATAAAGATATACATACATACATGCCTACATTCATAAATATTGTCAGTATATACACACAGACATATATACACACTCAGTGACCAGTCAGAACCCCCTGGATCAGAACACCTGTCTGTGAGCAGTTGTGAACATGTGTGTATAYACAAGATTTCTCCAATGGAATATTTAATAGTGACTGTGGAGGATTGGAGACCCAACCCCCAAGACACGAGGCAGACATAGGGAAGACCAGAGCCCAAGGGCCTGAGAGGGATCCCGAGCGCAGAGCCCCAAGGGGCACCCGCACGGGAAGATCCGCCCACCCACCCCTCAGATCAGACCATAGGGGAGAACTGAGAGAGTCCCCCCAGCGACTACACACACAGCCCCCGGGGCCAGCAGCTACAAACTCATGGGCCCCACCGGCACCCGCCATACCAGAGCAGATCCAGGGAAGGGCACAGAAGTCTGGGGCTCCAGGGCGCACCCCCTCCAGGCCAAAGCCCGACAGGCCCAGAGGCCCCGAGCCCCAGCAGGCAGTCACCAGGCCAGGCTGGCACACACCCCAGCGCCCAGCCCCAGACCCCACCGGGGGGCCGAGTCATTTTTTTGCCTTAATTATATCAGTAGATCAAGTGTTCTGTTAAGCTGGCTTGTTGTATTTTTGGATCCAGAACACAAGTGATGAGGAGCTTCCAGTCCCAAAAATCCAATTTTATTTTATTTTTTATTTTTGAAAAACCATGAAAAATGAGAAATTATTGATTAAAAAAATAACCTCAGAAGAACTTGGCTTCTTGGAAACTAAATATAAAAACTGAACGCTGATTTATATGTTTGTAAAGTGTTGCATAAATTAACTGTGATCCATTACGTCCTGACATCTTTTCTTTGTTTCTCAACGTCTCAGTTTAATGTTTAATTCAGAATGATAAAATGTGTTATAAAACATTCAGTGTGTTGCACTTTGTGCAAATCCACTTCCAGTTTTTCTGTATGTGTAACAATAACTCACATCTATTTAAAAAAGGCTATCACCATTAATAATCCTCTCTGTTGAGATCACACAATGTGTTTCCATTTATCCTCCCACTGTCTGCGGCTCATCAATGCAAAAAGCTGAACCTCCATTCTCTTACCGTTAAACAGGAGAGCWGTGACTGAAGGTGAAGGTGGGAGCATTACTGTCATTCAGACTTACAGGCAGCTGGCGTCGGTCACGGGGAACAAAGATGGAGGAAATTGGAATAGAATTGTTAAACCTGGGATAATTTTACAGTTAAAAGCGTCTCTTTGTTGTTTGAGAACAATGAGGGCTTGCTGATATGAATGGAAACAAAGCTGGAGATCTGACGTTGTATTCAGATCAGTGAATAAATATTCTATAGTTTTTGTTTCCAAAGAGCGCTGCGATGAAACCAAACGCCTCTGTTTAAACTATATTTTACTTTATTATTCTCAGTGGATTGTGGCAGATTGTATGGATTTAGAACTTTTTTTCTGCCTTCATGGTGATTTGTTTTAGGCAGCACAGTTTTTCCCACTTAATAATTTAGTTTACAAAGTGCAATTTTTCCAACATGTACAGTAACTTGTTTTATTTGGCACAGCTTTTCTTAATGTTAGTTTTCATTTTACAGGTGGGCGATACTGGGAATATTAATATGGTTACTAATGTCCWGATTTTAATAGCTTTTTCAGCACAGATACTATATCTGATATTGGTATCTGGACCAATATTAGCATTTCTACAAGTAGTCAAACAAACTGCACCAAAACTCTGGATCAATATCAATACCAGTATCAATACTAGTGTCAAGAGTGAATCCAGTAATCCAGTCCTGAAACAGCTCCACTGGCTCCCAGTTAAATCCCACATCAGCTTTAAAATTCTCCTACACACCTTCAAAGCTATCCCCAACCTTTCACCTCCTTAACTGTCCGACCTCCTCAACATCTCCACACCCTCCTGCTCTCTGAGATCTGCCTCCTCTCTCCAACTCTCAGGACCCCCGGCCCGCCTCAGCACCACGGGGAGCAGAGCTTTCAGCTGCTCTGGAACTCACTACCCCATGGATTATGTGAAACATCATTGAATTGCCTCTGTGTGCTGTTCTGCTGTTTGTCTCTGTCATTTTGGACCCAAGCAGCAAAAC